AGTTTGGGGCAAATGGAGCTCTACTTAAGGAAACAGAGAACTACAGGGTTCCCATGTTTAAAATAATTATGTCAAAAGATTGAGCAGGATTTTAGAAAGATGGAGGCAGCAGTGTTGTTTTGAATCTCCTCAAATCCTCTCATGGAAATAGATCAAACCAAACAAAACACCCATGAGTAGCCTTTACCACAAAACTAGATGACAGTTTTCCCTATGAACCCCAAAACAAGAGGGTGGGGCAAACCATCACCAATGGTCACCAGACTTGCCTGGTATGGCATCCACACAGGAGGGAGTGGCAGACAGGATGCCTTCAAACTGCCAGCAGAAGTTCACTGGAAAGTACCATGGGCCAATGTGAGAACAGCAACTGAAACTCTGAGGGGTTTTTTTTTGCCCAGTCACAAAGTGAGTAAGTACAAGGGACCTGTGATAGACTCTGAAGCAGTGAAGCAGTCTAATCCCTTCCCACTCGTGAGCCTGAGCAGCCAGAGCTCCTTTCCAGGATGCGGCCCCACACAGAGGACAAACTACTGGGAGGAACAACAGATACAAAGGATAAAAATCAAGGAGGCAAACAGAGCTGGGAAATCTCAAAAAGCAAACCATCATGTCATTTGATACTACATTTTTAAAAAAGAGAAGTTTGGGGAAGTTTTAGAAAAGTTATCCTTAACACCTCCTTTTCAAAGTGCAGAAAAATCAATTTCATCTAAAAATGAATAACAGAAAAGGATCGTAGTCAAATCCCATACAAAGGTATTATAAGAAAAAAGAGAATAAGCAGCAGAACAACATCCTCTCAGACAATAAAAGCAAGTCAGAAAAGACAGGCCCACAAGCTGATCCAAAGAGTAACCTGCTATTTGAAAACTAGCTAAAAGACATTAGGAAAAAACAATGCAAAAGATGAAAGGACCATAGGGGGCAGTAAGGGAAGTTACTGAATGAGTACTGTACAGAGTTTTTGTTTGGGATGATGAAAAAGTTCTAGAGATGGGTAGAGGTAATGGTGGAACAACAGTGTGAATCTACTTAATGCCACTGAATTGTACACTTAAAATGGTTAAAATGGTAAATTTTACATTATGTGTATTTTACTGCAATAAAAAGGGTGAGAGAACATATAAATCAAAATTAGGTGAGATGGTAGAACTCAGAACAGAATTAAAAACAAAAGAAAAACTTCAGAAGAGAAGACTAAACTAAAAAGAACACAAGAATGAACAGGCTGGGCATGGTGGCTACATTTTAAAAAACACCTGTAATCCTAGCACTTTGGGAGGCCGAGGCGGGCGGATCAGTTGAGGTCAGGAGTTGAAGACCAGCTTGGCCAACGTGGCAAAACCCTGACTCTACTAAAAATACAAAAATTAGACCGGGTGCGGTGGCTCACACCTGTAATCCCAGCACTTTGAGAAGCCGAGGCGGGTGGATCACCTGAGGTCAGGAGATTGAGACCAGCCTGACCAACATGGCAAAACCCCATCTCTACTAAAAATACAAAATTAGCCAGGCATGGTGGCGCATGCCTGCAATCCCAGCTACTCGGGAGACTGAGGCAGGAGAATCGCTTGAACCCAGGAGGCAGAGGTTGTGGTGAGCTGAGATCGCGCCATTGCTCTCCAGCCTGGGCAACAAGATCGAAACTCTGTCTCAGGAAAAAAAAAAAAAAAAGAAAGAAAGAAAAAAAATTAGACAGGCGTGGTGATGTGCGCTTGTAATCTCAGCTACTCAGGAGGCTGAGGCATGAGAATTGCTTGAACCCAGGAGGTGAAATTTGCTGTGAACCGAGGTGGCACCAGTGCTCTCTAGCCTAGTGACAGAGTGAGAGTCTGCCTCCAAAAAAAAGAAAAGAAAAAAAAAGAATTAACATAATGGATAATGCCTTTAAAAAAGAAGAAATTTTTAAAAATCAAAAAGAAGATAATAAAAAGGATTCTAGAGAAATAGCAAATATAAAAGATAGGCAAAAAAGTCAGGACAGTTCTGAAAAGAGTAATGCAAACACATAGAAACATAGTATACCATAAAAGTGACATTTCACATCAATGGGACAGATTATTCAGTAAATCATAATACATACATGTTGGGGTAAAAATAATTTATCTGGAAGAATCCTTAAAGTGGCAAAAGTAGATGCCTCTAAGGGAGGGGTAGGTGGTGGCTGGGAAACTTGGGGAAAGGGTGAATTTCCATTGTCACCATTTTGTGTCTTTTCAATGTTCTATCATGTGAATCTATTACCTTTGAAGTCTAAAATGCCTGTGTTCAAATCCGAACTATTGCTAGCAGTTGCTAGCTAGCTCTTAATCTTGGGCAAAAATTCTTCAGATTCTCTACCTCCTTATCTGTGAAATGGGGTGAATAACATAGCCAGGTGCTGCCAGGCACAGAATAAACTCTCAATAAATATAAAGTGCTGGTGGAAACAACCCAAATGTCTAGTAACGGATGAATGGATAAGCCAATGTGGTGTAGTCATACAATAAGAATAGTATGCAGTATGAAAAGGAATAAAGTTCAGATACACACTACAGCATATAGATAAACCTTTAAAACATAGTACTAAATGAAGCCAGATACCAAAGGTCACATGTTGTATGATTCCATTTGTATGAAATGTCCAGAAAAGGTAAATCCAGAGATTGGTGGTTGCCTGGTGCCAGAGGGAGGAGGGAATGAGGAGTGACCGCTAATGAGTAGCGGGTTTTCTTGCAGGGGATGATGAAAAGTTAATGCAGATAGTTGTAATGATTGTACAACCTTGTGAACATACTAAATGCCACTGAATTGTACGATTTTTGTTTTTTGTTTTGAGCCTGAGTCTTGCTCTGTTACCCAGGCTGGAGTGCAGTGGCACGATCTCGGCTCACTGCAACCTCCCCCTCCCAGGTTCAAGCGATTCTTGTGCCTCAGCCTCCTGAGTAGCTGGGATTACAGGTACACACCACCATGCCAGGCTAATTTTTGTATTTTTATTAGAGACGGGGTTTCACCATGTTGGCCAGGCTGGTCTCGAACTCCTGAGCTCAAGTGATCTGCCTGCCTCAGCCTCCCAAAGTGCTGGGAATACAGCCGCTCCCGGCCGCATCGTACGGATTTTGAACGGTGAATTTTATGTTAGGTGAATTATGTATCAGAAACTAATTTTTTAAAAAGTGAATTACTGATTTTCCCATGGTGACCATCCACTGCCCCCATTTTCCCTTCCCCCACCCATTCCTCTCCTGCCCTCCCCCCAGCGCCCCCAACCCTTTCTACCTCCCCCTGTGCCTCGCAAGGGGGGCCCCCCTCCCACTAAGGAGCGTCTCTGTAGAGCTGGGCGCCTGCGTCTTGCGGTTTTCGGAGGGGGACCCAGGGCGCATGCGCGCCCACCACTCATCCTGTGAAAACGGACGCTCCAAGCCGTTTTTTTCTCGTGTACTTCAGTTAATGGTGATGGCCGAGAAGGTTGCACGTGCTGGAATGGGTGGAGGAGGATCTGGCGGGCCTCTTAATATTTAAGTCCCTCCAGAAGCTTGATTTCCTCTGCCTGTAACCTCTGGATGCCGTGGTCTGAAAGCCAGGCTGGCTGCCTGCAGGCGCTTGCAAACGCTGAGGACTTCGGAGACCCACAGGCCTTCCCCCTTTGCATGCAGAGTGACCCAAGCCCATTGCTGAACCTCACTAGTAAAGTGGCACAGTGTTACTGGTCTTGTGTGTTGTTGTGAAGGTGAACTGAAGTAGTGCGTCTCACTGCCCCGTGCATAGGTGTTGGTTGAATAAATGGAGATCCATACTCTGGGGTCTGTCCTGGGCCAGCTTCATGCTGCTGCAGTTCACTTGGCTGGGCCCCCGGTTATCAGCTGCACCTTGGAGAGCTGTGAGCCCTTGCCATTCCCCTGGTAGATTTCCCCTATGTTTTGTACTCACTTTCCCAACTGTGATCATGTATGTATAAGGTAACCCAAACCTGTTGATGAGTCCTGAATCTTATTTTCTGAAATACCTATCTGCTAGGCTATGAGACATAAGGCCATCATCCATGGGAGATTTTGTACATTTATTTTGGTCCACCCAGCCTCATCTTCTGCCATCTTCAACTTATATCCAAATTTTATTCTTTTAGTCCTGTCCTCAGATTCTGCATCTTACTTCTGCCATTTTCCCCATTTCTGATTCCTTGTATAAGCCCATAAAATCTCTCCCCATTTGACCTTCTCAGTCCTGGACTATGTTCCTTCCTGTTTCCTCAATTCTTATCCCTTTCTGTCTATTCTCCCATCCAACTTTTAGTTCCTTCCTTTTTTTTTTTTTTTTTTTTTGAGATAGAATCTCGCTCTGTTGTCCAGGCTGGAGTGTAGTGGCATGATCTCAGCTCGCTTCAACCTCCACCACCCGGGTTCAAGCGATTCTCCTGCCTCAGCCTCCTGAGAAGCTGGGATTACAGGCACCCGCCACCACACCCAGCTAAATTTTTGTATTTTTAGTTTTTAGTTTGTATTTTTGTATTTGTAGTTTCACCATGTTGGCGAGGCTGGTTTCGAACTCCTGAACTCAGGTGATCCACCCACCTCGGCCTCCCAAAGTGCTGGGATTATAGGAATGAGCCACTGCACCTGGCCATAGTTCCTTCTTTTTTTTTCTTTTTTTTTTTGAGACGGAGTCTTGCTCTGTCACCCAGGCTGGAGTGCAGTGGCTGGATCTCAGCTCACTGCAAGCTTCACCTCCCAGGTTTACGCCATTCTCCTGCCTCAGCCTCCCGAGTAGCTGGGACTACAGGCGCCCGCCATGTCGCCCGGCTAGTTTTTTGTATTTTTTAGTAGAGACGGGGTTTCACCGTGTTAGCCAGGATGGTCTCGATCTCCTGACCTCGTGATCCACCCGTCTCGGCCTCCCAAAGTGCTGGGATTACAGGCTTGAGCCACCGCGCCCGGCCATAGTTCCTTCTTTCTAATGCAACCTTTGATCCCCACCCCCACACCAAAGAAAACTCACAGTCAACAGCATCTCAAAACTGAAAAGGCCTCTTTATTACTTATCTATTAATTCTATTACATTTCTTTATTATGTTTTAAAAATATATCAGGATAAATAAATTAGTATCTATCTATATATGTGGAAAACCAGCGGTATCCAAAGTAAAACCAACAATCTTGGCTCTTATATTGTGTAGCCATAGTATTCAGCAATTTCCATTTCTCTTTCCCTTTCAATGAAAAACTGCACCTTCCCCAGAGAGGTGTATTTGGCAGCATTCTCACGCTCTTGTTGAGCCTTTCTCTTCATGGCCTCACGCTCTGGCCTCTGCTCTTCTGTGATAGGCGTTGACATTACTGGCTCAGGAACAGTGGGTTTCCTCCATGGACTGGGTTGGAAGCTGCAGTCTTGGATTAGAAATTGATTTTGAGGCTTGGGCAGTGACTGGAGATTGGTCACAGCAGTGGAAACAGGCTCCCGATGCAGAGAAGTACAAGATGATGTTTTGTAGAGTGATGGCCTAGAAACTGCAGATTGAGGGACAGTAGGCTGGGTAGGGTTGGCTGAACCAGGTTGGGTTGCTTTGGTCGAAATTGACTGAGCTGGTGTGGCAGGACCTGGCAAAGATGTGTTGCTAGGAGCTGGTCGGGATGGATTGACTGCAGTCGATTGAGCTGAGTTGGTAGAATCAGGTTGAGCAGGGTAAGCCACAGCAGGCCTACGTGAGGCCGGAGGGTTTGGCCGCCGAGAAACAGGTCGAGCTTGAGGTTTGTCCAGGGCCAGAAAGGGCAAAGGTATCAACTTGACCTTCCCAGGTGGTGGCAACTCAGAGTGGGATGGAGATAGACACTCTTTTTCAGCACTACCATCTAGTTTCTGGGCCTTGACTTGAATTTTCTCCGGGCCTTTACCCTCACGTTGGGTATCCAGCCATGGTTTGAGAGCTGGGAATGGCTGGCGGTTTTGGGTGTTGCTTGAGCTTCCCAGGGTCCTGGAGGAAGAGAATCCAGTTTTCTTATCGATCTTTTTCCCGAGTGCATGGAAAACTTGCACGGACTCCAGCATGTGCATGCCCAGGGAGCTTCGGGGCTTTTTAAAGATCTCTTGGCTAAGCTCAGGTTGATTTTTCTTCCGCTTCATATTGGGAATGGTTTGCTTCTCTTCTACCTTGATGTTGTTCCCTGACTGCTTACTCTCTTCAGATTTCTTGGAGCTGTTTTTTCTGTTCCCTTTGGTCTTTTCCTGCCCATGGCTCTTCGTTTTGCTGACCCTGCTGGATGCAGCTTTGTGAGGTTTGTTGCTAGAATGCTTGGCCTTGTTTACAGAAGCACCGTCACTGATTGTAGCACTGCAAACAACCACTTCTCCCTCTAATAGGCACTCTGGGTTCTTTGGCTGGATTTTGGCCTTCGGAGCACCCTGGATAGGCTCGGAAGCTTTATGCTTGTTCTTCCTGTCTTGATCAGAGTGACCCTTTATGACATATGACTTTTCCTGCACCTGATTTACCTTGATGGCACTGGTATCTTTGGCTGTCTTTGCTGAGGGACTTTTGGGTAGGTCAAGATCCTGTAAGGAACTGAAGATTGGGGGGAGGTGAGTATCCTCCACCAATGTAGTGATGTCTGCCAAATCACTGCTAGACTCAATCCCAGTTTCAAATATCCCTTGGTCCTCAAAACTCAGGCTGTTATTTCTTAGATCGGCATTTTCAGAACCAGGCTGCTCCTCTTGGCCAAGAGGATCAATGCAGGCCAGAAGTGGGTGAATATCAGGGATTTCTAAAGGAAGTAGTGGAGGATCTTGATTTCCTATTAGGATCTGGTAGACATCTAGAGGCTTTGAAAGGTTGGTTTTAATCTCATCCAAATTCTCATTCTCATTTTTTTCCTGGCTTGGAGCTGGAGACAGTGTCAAGAGATTAGTAGGACTCTGGATTGGAGTTATCATTGAAATGTCCCCAAGTTCAGGTGATGGGTTACTCTCAAGTATCTGGGTATTTCTGCTACTGAAGGACTTGGAGAATTCTTGAGCTTGTGGCAGACAAAATGTCTGGCTTGGAGATTGCAATCCCAGGGAAGTATCCATCCCCAGGGAAGTTTCCATCACTACAAAGGAATCAAGGAAGAAGTCAGTCTCTGGTAAGTGAGATACTCCCCCTACACACCAATGCGGCAATCGGATACCTTTCCAACATGGGCAAGGCATTTCTACTAGCTCTTCTTGCAAGGCATTTCTACTAGCTCTTCTTAAGGACCATGGACAAGACCTGTATTAGGAGATTGGCAGTGACTGTTCTCTTACTGGTTATCATTTGATGTGATTGTTTCTTGGTTTTCTTTGCATTTCATAGGGTTGTTGTAAGTCAAAAAGTGAAAGTGATTTTTAAAATAGGAGATGTTTTATAAAGCCTCACATTCTTATAGGGTCCTTTCAATTCTCTCCACTCTCCTGAGAGAATAAGAACACTTTACACCATGGACTAGGGGAAAGAGTGGAGCCCTTCCTCATGAAATATATAAGCAAGCACAGATTCTGAGCCTGTTTGTTTTGGAGAGGATCTCTCAACACAAGGTCTTAAATCCTATTGTAAGTTAAGGAAAATCAAAATGTCACTGCCAAAATAAGAGTTCTGAAGTGCCTTCCAAAGAGACTAAAGTAATAGATTAAGGAAGGATATTACAGCGTGGTAGTGCAGAGGAAGTGATCGGTCAGGGCACTAAACAATGTATCCCTGAGTATGCTCTTGGGACTCTCTTACATGTAGCATAGATGGCCATTATAGTGTTCCACTTTCCCACCTATAAGGTGTTCTCACATAGAGTCTGCAAATGGAGAGCACTGCCCAAGAATAGTGGTTGAAGTCTCAGGACTTAAATTCTACCTATCCGTGGACTCATCACACAGCTACAGATTTGACCCTCTTTTTCAATGCTGACATTATTTCTCTCCTTTCTTGCTGTTTGTACTCACCTTGAACACTGGTTTCTGTGATGGGTTGAGTAGACACAGAGTAATACATCCCAGAAGTAGAGACTGGTGGTAGGACATTTGTGGGCTGAACCTCCTTTAGCACCATCACCATTTCTGGTTGATGGGCAGAAGCCCTATATCCTGTGTATGACACAGAGCCATAGGATTGCAGGCAGGATAGTTGAGGTCCCAGTGTGCCTTGATTATAGTAATAGACCTGACTTCCTATCTGGTAGGGAAGTGACAGGCTATGGCCCTGCTGATTTGGAATTTGAGTTAGTGTGCCCTGAACAAGGCTGGCAGATAGTGATGGATACAGAGGGACCACAGTATTGGTATCTGAAGTTTTATCATACTGGCAGTATTGGTATCTGGAAGTTTTATCATACTGGGCTGTCATAGACATGAAGAGATAGCTGTATTCTGGTCAGACGACAGTCACAGTGAAGTCCCTGAGTGAGGATGACTTCTTTGCTGTGTTTTGCTGTACTATCCCACTCAAAATTGCCTGGATAAGAGGCAGTCAGCTTTATGAGATATGGCCTTGGCCAGTAAGCCCAGACAGCATGCTATAACCCCAGACAACATAGTTAAAGTAGAATGTTGATAAAGGTAGGCACTGCCATGGGATTGGCTGGGAAGGAGGTGCCAGAGGCTGATGGCTGTAGCCATGCTGAGCTGATGGCTGGAGCAGAGGCTCTGGAGAAGGAGATGCTTCCTGTTAAGGAAGCCACATTGCTCAACACAGGGAAGAGAGAGCTGCAGAGAATTTGCAGTTCCAGGAAGACGTATTTTGGAAATTTCCTTTCTGTAGGGAAACAAGAGAGAGATGAAAAAAACCGGCGAGATTGAAAAATTCTCACTTATTTGAAGAACAGCATTATCTTAAGGTTGTTGCAATCAGGAAGCCTGTAATACTAATACCTACCGAGATACCAAAAAAGCCGGGCACAGTTTACGACATGCCATGAGCGCTGGAGGCAGTTTGGTCCTCTGACCGGACACAGATGTGGAAGACCAAGTGGTCTGGGTTCGTGACATTATTTCCTAGGCTAGAAGCAACCTTTCTCCCTTCCCTATCTTTCCTTGAATCTAAGTTAGTATAGACTCACAATCTATTTCCCTAGAATTGGAGCATTTGAACGTAGGAGTGTCCTGGATGTCTTAACATTTCATTTTATGAGGTCTGAGAGAGGTCAGATTTGACCTGTTTAAGCTCACCAATATAAAGCGACATTGGCTACCAGCTTACAGAACCTGACTTCTCGCTGGCAGCCTTTCAGCAATTAACCAGAAAACCAGGGAAATCAGAAACTTTAACATGGCATTTTTTTTGGGATCTTATTTAGAATGGCACAGCCATTACCTTTATAACTTTAGGCCACATTTTGTTTGCAGGTCATGTGACATGTCCTAGACTTTATTTAACTCCAGGCTATTGGTAAATCTAAAAGGTCATTCTTTGCCCTCTTCAAGCCTGGGCTTTTACTATAAGTCAAAATAACTACCTGATAGGAAATGCTTTTTTTTTTTTTAATTGAGACAGTCTTACTCTTGTCACTTCAGGCTGCAGTGGCTTGATCTCAGCTCACTGCAACCTCCGCCTCCTGGGCCTGGAAGTAATTCTCTCATGCCCCCCAGTCTCCTGAGTAGCCAGACTATAGGCGCTTTTGCCACTGTGCTCTGGCCAACTTTACTTTTAATAGAGACGAGGTTTTGCCATGTTTGCCAGGATGGTCTGGAACCACTGGCATCAGATTATCTGCCTGCCTTGGTCTTCAAAAGTGCTAGGATTACAGGCGTGAGCCACAAACGCCAGCCAAGAAATACTTTTGAAAGAAAAAAGCTTAGTTAAATCCTGAGCTTCAGGCTGCTTGTCTATAAAAGTAAATATAAAATAAGAATATACAATCACATACGAATAAAATGATTATGACATGACTATGAATTAAGATATAGTAAGTTCTGGAAAACAGACAAAATAATTAAAACATAAATTATGGGAATTAAAACAATATATAGATATTAATGAAAACTGGGTATGTAGCTAGCATCAGAATGTAGTAAATTACTAATCTGTGCTACTACCACATGCAACATTAGGAAACTGAATAATATCTACTTTTTCTTTTTCTTTTTTTTTTTTTTACTTTTCTTTTCTAAATGAATACTATTAACCAAGAAACAGCCCAATAACAGAAACGAACAACTCTCACCCAGACAGATAGGATAGAGAGATTTGATAGCAAAGGGGGGGAATATAGAAAATGTAGTAAATGTGGAATGTAAAATAGCCATAATATATGTGGATATTTCAATAGAAACTGGCATAAAATAGAATGCAAAAATAAGTAAAGGAATTCTATTTTTATGCTCATGGATTTCTAAGTGAATATTACCCAGCAAATGACAGGCATTAATCTTAGTAGAATACTTAAATTATTGTAGCCACATAACAAGCAGAAAAAAATCCTTAAAAAGTATCATGAGAGCTGTAATATTTATCCTCAAAATTCAGATTATAACTATCTCCAACATCCAGGAAAATGACATCCCCATAGCTTAAAAAAAAAAAAAATAACTGCTAGAATCCAATTTAAAATGTTTTGAATGTAGGAAAAGTTCCAAAGGACTCAGAAAATTTGATTTGAGTAGATATGGAATTAGAGATATGTGGCTGATATGTGGCTTGACTTTTTATTCTTAGGTCTAAAAGCAGTTCATTGCAAATCAGTATGTACTCTGCTTTTGGAAAAAGTAAGATATAGATTTAAAAAGCAGCTTTTACTAGAAATCTACTTTTCAAGCACAAAGGCATTGTTTTTCTGATGCAAGTAATGATACATTCTCTTTTTCAGAAACTTAATTTTATTAGGAGAAACATCCATATAATTTAAAAATTAGAAACAGCACACTGCAAATTACATGTCCTCCAGCTCTAGGTAAAACTACTTATTAGTTTCTTGTTTGTAGGAAGCATCATATCTTTTCTTTTGAGATGGAGTCTTGCTCTGTCGTATGGACTGGAGTGCAGTGGCAAGATCTCAGCTCACTGCAACCTCTGCCTCCCGGGTTCCAGAGATTCTCCTGCCTAAGCCTCCCGAGTAGCTGGGATTACAGGCACCTGTCACCATGCCCAGCTAATTCTTTTTTTTGTATTTTTAGTAGAGATGGGGTTTCACCATGTTGGCCAGGCTGATCTCGAACTCCCAACCTCAGGTGATCCACCTGCCTCAGCCTCCCAAAGTGCTGGGATTACAGGTGTGAGCCACTGAGCTCTGGCCTGGAGTGCATCATTTTCTAATACCACACACACACACACACACACACACATACACATGTACATATAGTATTATGTTTATATATATATTTTTTTGAGAGAGTTTCGCTCTTGTTGCCCATGCTGGAGTGCAATGGGCATGATCTCAGCCCACTGCAACCCCGCCTCCCAGGTTCAATTGATTGTCCTGCCTCAGCCTCCCAAGTAGCTGGGATTCATGCAGCACACTACTTCATGCCTGGCTAATTTTGGTATTTTTAGTAGAGACAGATTTCTCCATGCTGGCTGTAGCTTGTCTCAACACTCCTGACTCTCAGGTGGATCAGCCAACCTCGCCTCCCAAAAAGTGCTGGGATTACAGGTAAGAATGGTCCCTGTTCACCTGTTACAGCCCCTGGAAATGCCGAGTATTAAAACTGTCAAGTGTCATCTATGTCTAAGAAGGCAACAGAAAAAAAAACTGAATGTGACTTCTGATTAACATTTACCCAGGGACACTTCATTCTAGCCTGTTTCCCTTCCTTTAGGCTGATAAGGCACAATGACAAAACCAACTTCATTTTGCCTCATCTTAATAGATTTCTACCTCTATTGTCCTTCTGCTTCTTTTCTTTTTTTTTTTTTTTTTTTTCCAAATTTAAAATATATTTTTTTCTTTAAATCATTTTGTCATTCTCCAGGGTATATCCTAAGGGAAAGAGTAGGGGACCCTTTCTGCTTTAATTAAAATCCCAAATTTCTTACCTTAGAATACTTCACTCCTTATAACCTCCAGTACTTATTTTGTCTTTCCACCTAGTTTAGATAGGAGTCTGCAAAATGGACATTACTTTTGTTTGTTTGTTTGTTGTGACAGGTCTCACTTTGTCACCCAGGCTGAAGTCCAGTGGTGTGAACATGGCTCACTATAGCCTCAACCTCCTGGGCTCAAGCAGTCCTCTGATCCTCCCACCTCAGCCCTCCCGTGAGTAGCTGGGCATACCTCCAACCTCTGGCTGGATTTTTTGAAAAGTTTTTGTAGACATGGGGGTCTTGCCATGTTGCCCAGACTGGTCATGAACTCCCAGGCCCAAGCGATCCACCCACCTCAGCCTCCCAAAGCATTGAGATTGAGGCAAGGAGCTACTACGCCAACTGAATATTAAAAGCATTACTACACATCAGTAAACATCACTAAATTTAAAATAGTAAAGTTGAGTAAACACATGAGGAGTGGCCTCTAAAGGCTGAGATTTATGTGTGAGCCACTGTGCTCCATTAAATATTATTTAAAACATCACTAAACATCACTAAATTTAAAAAGAGGAAAGTTGAAATATTGGGTGGAGGGAGATTATTACAAATGAAACATCTCAGAACATATTGCTACTTTTCTATGCCACTTTGGGTTTTTTCTATTCCTGTTGTAATGAATACTTTCAGAAAGACTTGATTTCATTTTCTATATGTATACCCCTTTAAGACTCCAGTGTTGGAAAGAAAAGGAAGTAGGAGGGAATAAAATTCAATTTATTATCCTAATGTAACAGATGAAGAAACAGATTTCGTGAGAGAATAAGTTATCTAAAGTCACACAGCTAGTAAACATCAAAGCAAAAACTGAAATGAAGTCTCTAGATTTCTACTTAAGAGATTCCCGTTATTCCAAGCTCTTGGGACTATAGGGGAAAGAAATCTAAATTCTATGGGGAAGGAAATCTCATGAAAACTCTTTTTTAAAAAGTTTCTTTCTTTACCTGACATGGTCAGAGAAGAAGAAACATCAACTGCAGATACAAGGGATGAAGAGACGATACTAGCGGATGTCTGGGTACTGCTTAATATAAGGGTCCAGGCATACATAATGGTCACCGTCACTGGTCACTGGCCACTTGCGATGATAAATGTACAGGCCACTCCCAGCAACTCCCAAGATTCTACCAGGTGGTGGTAGGTCTGGAGGGAGAATGATGTCACAAAGCAGGTGAAGTTTAAAGGTCTGCCATAGCCAATAGGAGGCCAGATTCCCAACAAGACAGGATTGGCTGGGTAGAGGTGGTAGGAAAGCTGCAAGGGCACTATGGGCTGAGCTCTGGGGAGGAATCTGCAAGACAGACGTGACAGTCCCACTTTCCCCAGGCTCTCATGCGTTAGGAGATCGCCTGGAATGCTTCTCATAAATGTTCACTTTATAACATAACTAACATTTATATTTTATACTTTTTATATTTCATATTATATAATACTATGCATTTGTAAATTATATAGTACATACACAACATCCTTGGGGGAAAGGAAAAGTGGACGCCTAAGCTGGAGCAATTACAGTTGTTCTAAACCATTTCAGTGAATCTGATTAATGAATTTACCGCCGTTGTTTGTTTGTTTGTTTTTTGAGACGGTGTCTCGCTCTGTTGCCCAGGCTGGAGTGCAGTGGCATGATCTCAGTTCACTGCAAGCTCCACCTCCTGGGTTCACGCCTATCCTCCTGCCTCAGCCTCCTGAGGGACTAGCAGGCGCCACCATTCTTGCCCGGCTAATCTTTTTTAATTTTAGTAGACACGGGGTTTCACCGTGTTAGCTGGGATGGTCTCGATCTCCTGACCTCGTGATCCGCCCCGCCCCAGTCTCCCAAAGTGCTGGGATTACAGGCGAGCCACTGCACTCAGCCCTACTGCCACTTTTAAGGGCTAAAGCGAAGGGATTAAAGAGCCCTTTTGTAGATTTGGTTGAGGAGCAAAGTTCGTTGACTGCTCCTTGTAGGGAAATGATGTGGTCCAAGAGTCTTCTTTTTAGTTTTTCCTTGAATCCTACCTTCTTTGGCTGGGAAGCAGGTTGAACCAGGATCTCTTCTGCCTCCCTCTTTTAAACCCCTCTTTGATTTTTAGGCATTGTTTCTGGGCTGAGCCTTGATCTTGCATTTTTACATTCGTGGATATTACTTCTTGTCAACTTCCAGAGCAGGAGTCTTCTTTTCAGTGTCCTGATGTTTGGAAAACAGACTCTGCTCATGAGAAGCAAACACCAGAGAGGTAGAAGACAAGGCTGACTGCAGACGTTCCCTCTTCTAGCCTGTGGTCACAATTCTTTTGCCCATAGTTTGCTACCTCTGGCTCCTTGGGCCACAGAGACGCCCTGCCTTCCTGGTGTTTCATACGCAAGAAGCATTCAGGATACTTTCTGTCTTCTCACATAAGAGGATCCAGTGTGGCAGTTACTTATAGCCTTCTCTCCCTTGCAGACAGCCACTATAGAATCTCGGGCCTTTAGGATTTCCTGTCAGTCATGCTTGGGTGCAAGGGCCAGGCCAAATGAAGAGTTAAAGCATTTAGTGGAGAATAGGAAACAGGCAAAGTGAGGGTGTAGGAAAAAGAGATTTGTGTGAATTTTTTGGTTTCTGTGACAAACAATTCGACACACCTATTTTGTATTAAGAGAACAGACAATTTAATATTTTTTTATGTAGCCAGATAGTGCGGAACTTCCATGACTTCTGTACACTGAAGGAAATAATCATAATATATTTTTTCCATTTTGTTTTATATCATATTACTTCATTTATGTTATTCATTATTATGTCTGATTACTTTCTAGAAATCCTATTCTCCCTTCGTCTGGATTTTCTTGTGGCAACTATAACTGAGTTTGTTCTCACCCCAATATTGTGTCTTTTAGCAAATTGAAAGGTAAGCCCAATACAGCTTTTTAGCTTCTGAAAGATTTATGTTACATTTTGTGTCTTGTTATGTCCATAGACATTTGTATCATTTGTAGTTTTGGGCTACTATACACCTATTGGATTTTTTAATAATTTCCAAAATGATGTTGTATTATTTATTTATTTATTTTTTGATATGGAGTCTTCCTCTGTTGCCCAGGCTGGAGTGCAATGGCACAATCTTGGCTCACTGCAACCTCTGCCTCCTGTGTTCAAGCCATTCTCTTGCCTCAGCCTACCAAGTATGCCGGACTACAGGTATGAGCCACTATGCCCAGCTAATTTTTGTATTTTTGGTGAGACAGGGTTTTACCATGTTGGCCAGGTTGGTCTCAAACTCCTGACCTCAAGTGATCTGCCTGCCTCGGCCTCCCAAAGTGCTGGAATTACAGGCATGAGCCACCGTGCCCGGCCACAATATTTTATAATTTAATGCCAAATTTGAATGTGGGCTGGGTGCGGGGGTTCACACCTGTAATCCCAGCTCTTTGGAAGGCCAAGGTGGGCGGATGACTTGAGGTCAGGAGTTCAAGACCGGCTGGCCCACTTGTTGAAACCCTGTCTCTACTAAAAATACAAAAATTAGCCAGGTGTGGTGGCATACACCTGTAGTCCCAGGTACTCAAGAGGCTGAGGCAGAATTCCTTGAACCCAAGAGGCGGAGGTTTCAGTGAGCCGAGATGGCACCACTGCACTCAAGCCTGGGTGACAGAGAGAGACTCCATCTCAACAACAGCAGCAGCAACAACAAATAATTAAATGTTCCTAATTGTAAGTTTGTTATGTTCTGTTAACCTTTTTCTTTTTCCAATGAACAATTTATGAATATTGATACATTTTTCATGATGTGGAAATTTTCAGAATTGTAAATGTTTATGGATTTAAAACTGGTTGGAAAATTACTGTCTCAAAAATGTTAATAAAGCTAACAGTCTAGCTTTATTAAAATCAATTTGACCTTTTTCATCCTCGGTTTACCCAGCTTTAAAATGGTTGCAAAGATTACTAAAAATATATGTAAGGTACTTTCATAAATTAGAAACTAACAAGTAAAAATTGCTTTCAAAAATCTGCAATCGGCCGGGCGTGGTAGCTCAAGCCTGTAATCCCAGCACTTTTGGAGGCCGAGGAGTGCGGATCATGAGGTCAAGAGATCGAGACCATCCTGGCCAACATGGAGAAACCCTGTCTCTACTAAAATGAAAAATTGGCTGGGGCGTGGTGGCATGCACCTGTAGTCCCAGCTACTCAGAAGGCTGAGGCAGGAGAATTGCTTGAACCTAGGAGCGGAGGTTGCAGTGAGCCCAGGTCGCCACTGCATACCAGCCTGGTGGCAGAGCGAGACTGGGTCTCAAGGAAAAAAAAAAAATCTGCAATCATAATTACTTACAGTTAATCTAGGTGAAATTTTTCGATTATTTTCAGAGCTACTATAGGTATGATGTCCTTTGTGGCTCCACTTTTGTAGAATGCAACGTGTTTCTTTTTTTTTTCTTTTCTTTTTTTTTCCATTCTACTTCTAGGAATTTAGATATAGTTGTATATATGTATAAGGATATTCATATTGCAGCATTGTCTGTAATAAGATTTGAAAGGAACCTGAAAACAACTGAAGGTCCATTAATAGTGAACTGGCTAACTACATTATGGTATTTTTAATTATGTTACTCATAAGCAATGAAATTCCCTATAGCCATTACAAAATAGAATCTATGTATGCATAAATTGACTGGGAAAATCAGTGTTCAAGGTAGATTGTAGAATATGTACAGTTCTCCTTTTGTACCAAAATAGAGGATATACACATTTACAGTTTAATCTGGAATTTAGTACTCGATTCTATTTTCAGAGCTACTATAGAGTATGATGTCCTTTGTAGCTCCACTTTTAGCAGAATGCAACGTGTTTCTTTTTTTTTTCTTTTCTTTTTTTTTCCATTCTACTTCTAGGAATTTAGATATAGTTGTATATATGTATAAGGATATTCATATTGCAGCATTGTCTGTAATAAGATTTGAAAGGAACCTGAAAACAACTGAAGGTCCATTAATAGTGAACTGGCTAACTACATTATGGTATTTTTAATTATGTTACTCATAAGCAATGAAATTCCCTATAGCCATTACAAAATAGAATCTATGTATGCATAAATTGACTGGGAAAATCAGTGTTCAAGGTAGATTGTAGAATATGTACAGTTACTCCTTTTGTATAAAAATAGAGGATATACATGTATGTGAAGGTAAATATTTACACACAATATGCAAAATGTGAATGTAAGCACTGGTAGCTATCTAGAAGAACACCCAAGGAACCGGGGCGGGGGACGGATCTGGCAGAGGCACTTCCCCGTGCCTCACTGTTTGAATTCTGAAGGGTGCAAACACGCCCTTATTGACCAGTGCTACCGGCCTCTGGTTAAAGAGGGCGCTGTAGTCACCAAAGTCCCGTTTACAAATCAGGAGTCTCAGGAAGCCAGCGTGGTTACGCCATCACGACCGGCGGTGGCACATGCGCAATAGCGAGACGCTGGAGCGCTGCGTGGGTGGCTACCGAGTCTCTTCCGGTCTAGGGTCTTATCCTGGCACGGAGGGCGCCGGACTGGCGCTTTTAGCCGGCTTGGCATTGGGTGGGCGGCTTCTTGGGACCCACATGAGCCAGTGGCATCATCCTCGCAGTGGCTGGGGTCGGGGACGCGACTTTTCAGGACGCTCCTCAGCCAAGAAGAAGGGCGGAAACCACATCCCGGAAAGGTAAATACGTCTTGGTCCCTTGGCGTGGCCTTTCCAGCTCGTGGTTTCTGGGTCTGGGCTTCATCTTTTGTGGTCTCTGCCTGTCACTCTTGCCGTCGCAAGCTTGACTTGTCCGCCCCTTGCTTTGAGGCTTTGACCCTCTGCGCCACCCGCTGTAAAGGGGCGATGTCTGAAAGGTCCTGTGATTTCTCCATATTCTTGTAAAAGGGAGGTTCTGGCCATTGCTCTTAGGTAAAATACGGAAGGATTGCTTTAAGGTGGGACTGTTAGTGTTGGGGACACTCCTTAATTCCCAAGATGGAATCTCCTCAGTTCCTTGTTAACGTTGGCACGGAAAGGGTAATGGTTTGAGTTAGGAACCCAGCCATAGTAGTGCCCTGAGATCTCACATG